TATATATATATATATATATATTTTGCTAGGTCATAAAGTGTAATTTGAAGTGCAGACTTTCAGCTTTAATTCAAGGAGTCAATCAAAGTATTGCATTAGCTTCCAGGGTGATATGTGAAAAAATATAAATATAAATGTAAATATAAATATAAAAGGACACCAGTACTGACAGTAATATTTCTGAGACATTAATAAGTAAACCAATATAAGCCCACCCCCCTCCCCCTTCCCCAATAAAATTATGAATTATCGTGCATAAATAGGCTGTTGATTTTCTTTACTCATTTCAGGTATTACCAGCAAAATAGTTGCATGTTTAATCATCTGGGAATTTACCCAGATTTATTTATTTATTTAGACAGAGATCATATCATGTATGTGTGTATATATTTCTCTTTAATGTTCCAGTTGTTGATTATTTTCAATACTTATATATTGCAGGGTAGGTTGATCTATAATAATGCAGTTAATCTACAGAATAATTATAAACTAAAGATTTAATACTTCACATTAAACCTATACCTTAGTAAAGTACTTGAGGAAATGAATTTAGTTACATTTCTACTGTTCCTATCCATGCGCTCATCCAGTGGTGATGTAAGATTAGCAGTAACTAGTACTATGTTTCAAGGCAAATTATATTTCAGCTCATCCACCCCATGCTCCCGCCCCTCACATATCTGATAACTGTTTAGTAATTAAAGCCATTTTAATGCATTTTCCTCCATTTACAATGGACCAAAAGTACTTAGACAAACTATCATAATTTTAAATACAAGGACTGTTTTAATTGATGAAAATAATTTCCAGTCAAGAACTGTCTGAAGTACAGAATCCATGAATATCACCTAATGCATCATATCCTCCTGGATCTGCCAGGCTTTTACTGCAGTTTCTGGTTGTTTGTGCTTCTAGTTTTATTTTTAGGAGCTGAAAATTATGCTCTATTGTATGGAAGCTTGAAATTGCCACTCATGAGTTAAAATTTTGGCTGTTATGTCAAAATTTTGAGTCAGGTATTGCAAAAGTTCAACTTACTAACTCAAATGTCTGAGAAAGGTTTTAAACTGAAGTTTCAGTCATAGCTGGTGCCACCCCTAACCTCCTTCTGGATACACCTCTGTTTACGAAACATCTGCAGTTAAAAATATATGCTCGACTACGGCTGGGAAAAAACACGTTTCATCAATTTTTATTTATTTTTTATTATTAACAAAAGTTGGGATGCACAGTTTGACATGTTAGTTAGTTTTACTAATGTATATTCTGCTTTTTTTTTTCTACATCATCCATGGTAATGATGAGCTACTTGGGTTTAAGTTAAAAAAAAAAAAAGAGTTTTACATGTTACTGCATGAAATCTAATTTTCTGTCTTTAGGACCTTGTTAGCATTACTGTTTGAATATAAATATACAAATAAATAATTTGATTATAATTAATACAATAATTTGAGTTTTTAGCCTCACAATGAGTGTCCCAGAGTTTATTGTGAAATCAACTGCCCTTTGAAAATGGTAACACGCTAACCAGCCAAACTATGTAAGCTGATTATACTAAATGTGAAATACATGTCTAATATTTTTGACATAAAACCTTTAATTTATATTACTTTATTTAGTTGTATTACAAAACAAACAAAAGCAACAGGTGAAAACCATGTGAAATACCCCAGTGTTTAAAGAAAAGTGCATCAGCTAAAACAAAATATGAATTAAATTATGAAGGCAAAGGTAGCTAATGTTATAATGAGCTTTAATCTAACGCAGCATGTAGATGAATGTAATCAGAAGCTTCAGTTTGTCATTTCAAACATATAAACAGAACTAAATGTTCACCAGGCACAAACAGTGCTTAGTTGAACATTGACAGCAGCACAATGCTGAGGTTAGATATTTAACTGATAGTTTGTGTTTCCAAACGTAAAACATTGAAGCAACCTGAAGTTCACAAAAGGCCTTCTGTTTCTTTCTGGCAATGGCAGATGCTATAAGATGCCATCATCTGTTACAGAATAAAGTTCTGGGTCTTTGAACACCAGTGTACAAGTAAACCAAAGCCGAATGAAAATGATAAATTATAATTTTTGGATCCATTTAATGAGGCATATTACCTTTCTCTGATATTAAACAGAGGTGACATGAAATACAGTTATTATAAGTGTTAGGATCATGGATCCTTTGGTTGAAAAGAAGCTCAAATGTTTTCACAACACTGATGCATGATATTAAAAAGCCTTCTGAAGGACAACAGTCAATAATAATGACAACTACATATTAGAGGCTCACAGCTTTAGGCGTACAGCCCAAAAATAAGTGCACAATACTGAACATCGAAGCATTTCTTTTCATTTGTTTTATCCTCCATTTAATAAATGTTTTGAGGGGGTTTAACGAAATCTGTGGATCTGGGAAATGGAAATGTCTGAACAAAAAAATAAAAAAAGGACTAAACGGGCAAATATGTGTGAAATGATAACTGTGATGGACCTGATAAAACCAATAAACATTCACAGGCCACGCTTGGAGGAGTACAATGACAAGTTAAAGGAGGGGTATTGTGGAAAATCCGATTTGTCTTGTCTTGGAGGATTTCACTGTCACAGACAATATTTAAATAAAAGCTGGTACTCCTGCTGTTGCAATCGCTTCTCGTGATGAAATATCTCTGTTCAAACAAGCTGAGGGTGATGCCACACCCTGGGTGGAAAACGATGCCCTTCTATCTGCTGTTTCTTAATATTGCCACAGCGCTCGTAGATCTCCTGTTGAAATCACTGCTTAACATGGACTACCTGAAAAAAACAGTAATTATTCCAAAGGGTGGATCTTATAAAATTCACACCAGTTATCCTGCTTAGGACAGCTTTCAGAATTTGCCTAAATTTTTAATGTTTTCCACCCTGCATGTGTGTGACCACCACACAAATTAGTCGCTCCTGCTACTTTCCCTGCAGAAGTCTGCAAAATACAAATGTGCTTGGATGAATACGTCTGTTTTAAGGCTAATGCGTAATCTGCATATAATCCACAGGGTGCCTAACATCCAAGGATCAAAAGTTTAAAGTTATTAAAGCTTTATTTGGCCAAAAATGAAGATAAAATATTAAGACTAAGTCCTAAATATAAGAAGAGGTAGACCTGACGAGAGGTGCCGTCTTATCGTATAACATCCGAGGAGATTTTCAGAGAATTTTCAGCCTTCAAACACTGAGCTCAGCTTACAGTGGCCAGTGTATACTATAAGCTACCATGACTTCAGTGCAATGCCTGACCTTTGGCTTCTATCCGCAGCTCATGTTGCTGTCTGTGTATTTCCACTTCAAGCAAAGCTGAACACGCTCGAGTTGTGGAGGCGCCGAAGGCTCTGATGTTATTTTAAAGGTGTGTCAGTGCCTTCAATGCGATCTGTTCTGCACTGCAGTGTCATTACTGTGCATAAAGCTGTCGTGTTGTTCGTGTTTGTTCTGCAGACTGCATGAAAAGAAAAACACAGATAAGCAAAGACACAAAGTGGTACAGGATATGAGACCATGTTTAATGGCAATACACTGCAAAAACTTTCACCACTCCAAACGTATCAATCAGTGCCTCCGTCTGTCTGTGAGATTGTCTATTATGTTACGAGCTGAGTGCTGCGCTACAACAAGAATAATATGCATTTACGAGCGAGAAGGAAGACCTGTGAAGTGAAAAGTGCCACAGTGAGGTGAACAGTTTTCCACTTGTTTTGCTGTCACTCAAGCGGCTACCATTTCCGTCTTGTTTTCACTAAGTATTAAGGCAAAAACACACACACATGACCATGTTTTTCTTTTGCATTTTGTAAACAAAATCTCATTTTTATAGTAAGTCTCTTATATTTACCACTAGGGTAATCTTTCTGTTGTTCTTTTGTTTCGTTTTTGAAGCGATAACGACTTGAAATTCACAAAAGTCAAAGTCCTTAAACAACAGGCTTTGTTACATTGACAACAGTGAAAGTGCATTGTGATAGTGACTAAATAAACTAGAACATAACACCACAGAGACTCTCCACATGACAAGAAAAGGTCATTAGTGATCACTTACAAAACAGCTCTAATACTACATTGTGCTTTAATACTGGGTTCACAATGTTGTGCAAATGGGGTGATTATTATTATATCTATAGAAAACACAATGTGTACGAAAATATCGCCATAATTACTTTCTCCTTCTATTTGACTTTGTATGAAATAAGCATAACTTCAAGAGGACTTTGTGTGCATGTTGCTTAGCTTGATGGCTTATTTTAAAACCATGAAAAGGCACTTAGCTTGACAGAAGATTTGGGGCAAAATCACCAACGGCACAAAACGAAAATTAGTCCAATTAGGAAGAGGGCAGTGGGTTCCTGCAACACTATCGAGAGGGAGACAACTCCACTCAGAAATATGACAGATGGCAGAAGATTCCTGTTTCTGTTATGCCCAGACTGGGGCTCGAAAAACCCTGACGCTGTGCTTGGTTCATTCTCTAATGACGTATCGGGGGAAATATGTGCAGCTTCTTCCTTCTCTTCCAAGGCTGAGACAGACTGAGCTACGTTTTCACTCACCTCAGTGACACCCGTACTCACTGAGGTGTTCTCTGGAAGCTCGGGTGATGGTAGAGCTTCACCTTCTGCTTTCAGAGATGTCTGAGTCTCAGCCACGGGAGACAAAGGTGCAGGCGTACTGGCTTCGTGATTTGCTGCAGACCTGCTGGAACTTTCTGATAATCCTTCAACAGGTTCACTCATTCCCACAGCAACGTCTCGCTCAAAGCCCTGTGTCACACTGGGAGTACAGGCACGCTCAGCAGGCAGTTCAAGGCAAGGATGACTGGCTGGTTTTTCTCCAGCTCCATCCTCTCCTGTTGTTGTCTCTGTGGCAGGAAGACACATGCAAGATGGTTCTAAAGGGATTTCCTCTCTGCCAGCCTGGGAGATGTCTGATCTGGGTTTGGAGTCTCGTTGCAGAAAAGGATGTGAGGCAGGCGGCGGCGTAGAGGGACTACTGTCTACGCGCTGCTCAGACGTCTGGTTGCCTAATTCACAGTGGAGTCTGGGTAAAGGCTGTGACTTATTTGGCTGGACTGATTCGCTGGCACAGAGTACAAAGGATGAATTAGTTTGATGTGTGGTTTCGGAAGACATAGAAGGAAACTGTTCACCTGGGAATACAGTGTGAGCGGACAGCGTGCCATCGTCAGATGGAAGCTCTTGGTTGGGTGGGACAAAGGGACCAGACGGGTGAGCTGCGATCTGCTGAAGTAAAACAGCAAGACAACAGTGATAGCTAGGAGACAAAGGAGGAACATTTGTATTCCACATTAACATTGCACGCTGAGGGAAGAAAAGCATTATACTGCATACTAATGCTTTTCTGTGAAAAGGAACTCATGCAGAAGTTTTAGCTATGAGGAAATGCAAACAACTCATGAGCAGTATGAAGAGGTGGACTTGAATCTTTTTTTAAAATTATGGGGAAAAAAACCCTCTCCTTCCCTCGAATTTCGCTCCCAGGAGGGCAAAACAACAAATGTAGTTTAAATATTCCTTCCTTTAAGTGAACTCCACACGGCACAAGTGAATCCAAAGGAGAAGAAAATTGGATCGGTTCAATTTTCTTAATTATTTTCTCCTCGAGTTTTCCCACGTTTACACATACTGAAGTGAGGGTGGCTGTTTGAACAGCAGGGACTGGACCAAATGTAATGCCTAAAAAATACTTATTTACATTTTAACAGGATTTTATTCAAAAAAGGAAAATGGCCATTAGCAAATAATGGAAAAGGAGTTTCCCCTGCTATGAGGCTGCCCTGACAAACATTCAAGGTCATATTGAGATGAAATCATTGCAATATAAAACCAAAAGACAGACAAGAAAAACAGCACCAAGAAGAACATATGCAAAAGCTGGACACACAAAATATGAAGACGGTAACAGCTGAAATAGGGCAGGTGAGTTTTAGTCAGCAGAAAGTAACTAGATTTTTCTATTTCACAAAAATCATACCTACGCATATAATTGTGTATAATGCAATATTTGTTCAGTTAATCCAAAAAATGGATTCTACTTTCCAAGAAGGTTTTTAATTTGACTTAAAAGAATTTTATTGTTGATTTTTTGTAAAATGTGCAGCTGAATCATTTAAGATCACTTAGTAGACCAACAATCTATGACTAAAAAGCTTCAGGGAAACCATCAATTCAAATAAAGGAGTGCTAATGATATCAGTGTTTTAATGCCTTTGTGTAACTTTAATGTATTATACAAAAGTTGGGGTATCAGTTTGTTGGGAATTATAAAGCCCAGATTCTCAAAACCTACGGAACGATACAAGGAATAATGTGAAATGATGTCCACCTTTATTTGTGTTTTAAAAAAAAAAAAAAAAAAAAAAATTCTGCCAAAAGGAAAAAGCATGCATGTGATCGCTGAGGTGAAACATGAGAATGAGCCAGGACAGCGTAACAGACACTTTTGTAGTATTGTGAGATATTAATATCAGATCACACGTTATCATGTTATTCTGTTAGGAGGTGGAGTGTGAAAATTTTTTTTTATGTTATGCAGAACTAATTAAACTTTCCCTTCTAAAATACATAGTTATTATGGAAGCTGGTATATCGATTTCCACGGAAGCATCTTTGCTCCATTGCCATGTTTTCAGTCTTCATGCTAATTGTGCAGCAAGTCAGATGAATATATACCCACTGACCACTTTATTAGGTATACCTCCTTTTGCCTTTAGAACTACCCTAATTCTTCATGCCATATATTCAAAAAGGTGCTGGAAACATTCCTCGGAAATTTTCATCCATATTGACACGATAGCATCACAAATCCATTACATGAATCTTGCTGTTCCACACCATTGCGGGACCATCGCCACCAGCTGAGCTGATGATACAAGGCAGGATGCTTTCATGTTGTTTATGGCAAAATTTGGCATAAACAACAACAGTAGACCTGACAACATTTGTCCAGGTTTCTCTCAGTTTCCTGTTTCTGTCATTGTTAGCTGACATATGTGGCACCTGGTGCGGTCTTCTGCTGCTGTAGACCATCTGCTTCAAGATTCAATGCACTGTCCATTCAGGTGTTTTGTGCATGCCTTGGTTGTAAAGAGTGGTTATTTGCATTATCACTGGATAGTTTCTCTTTTTTTGATCAATCTCTAAAATCACTAGAAATGGTTATGTTGGAAAATCCATGAAAATCAGCAGTTCTCTGAAATACCATCAACAACCATGCTACATTCAGAGTGGCTTTCCCACCATTCTGATGCTTAAGCAGAACATCTTGACCATCTTGCGAACATGCCTAAGTTGTGTTGCTGCTATGTGATTAACTGATTAGATATTTGCAGAAAGTATACCTCATAAAGTTACCAGCGAGTTTTAATGATAAGATACTTGAAGATTTCATGAACATGGTTAAAAACTACAGCACTACAATCTCAGAAGAATGACTTCCCACTGGGGGAAATCTTTTTTGTTATTATTATCCCACATGAATGCACAATATACTTGGGCTTTTCTTTATATTCGTGAATTTTCTTTATTTTCTTTATTTTCTTTAATTTTTTAATCTAACTTTCTGCAAGAAAGCAACGAAACTGTAAACACTTCCTTTGAAGATATCAGCATGGTTACAGTGGTTCAGTTTTCCTTTTTTGTGCACCACTGTGTGCAATCTAACACAAATATCAGCAAAATTTCCACATAAAGAAAGCTGACAATACATCGCAGCACAACAGTGAACATCAGTACTGTTTCAAACAATGGAAGCATAGAGGATATTAGATGTGATCACATGTGGGTAAAAAAAAAAAAATTAGTGTCCTGAGTTACGTAAAAGTACAAGAGATGTGAATTCAAATTAAAGTGTGCACAAACTTGAACGGCATGCTTCATGAATATCATGAGAAACTGAAAAAGAGACATACAGCAGTGAGAAGCGAGACGTTACCTAAGTTGTTGCTGAAGCTTCAATGAGCTGTGAACAACACAAACAACCAAGCCAATGGTGATAAGGTTCAAAAGTTGATCACACATGTTTGTTATGTTTTATTAGATACATGGCTTGTCTAGAGGGATAAAGCACTTAGAATGCTAACATGTTAAATGTGAATTTGTCAAAAATTGCATGCAGATAAAGATCATTTTAACCAATCCTGTCCTCTCTTGGCAGGTGAGCCAACATAGGAGCAAGTTCCAATCAAAACGGACTGTTTTAAACTTTTGAAGGATGAATCAGTACTCCTCCTGGTGGCTTACAATCCCCATTCTTTTACTTTACTCTTACCTCTACATCAATCTCCGGCTTTACAATGACCGGACACACAGGCGTAGGCCGGAGAAGTCCCGGACGAGCCTCAGAGGTCCCTGCTTCTTCTGTAATTGTAAACCAGATGAAGAAGTTATGAGAATGTGTTTAGTAAGTTATGTTAATCACAAAAAATAAAATATGTATTTTTTTTTAGCCTGGGTAAATACCTCTGTGACTCTTGGGTAAGTCTACCTGGCGGTAGGAACATTTACCTAATAATGATATATGTTGGCACTGAGCTGGATTGTGGCAAATGTAGGAACTGACATGTTTGTGACTTTTTCCTCTGCTCTCTAGTGCAATTTATATTATAGTGTGCCCACTTATATAATCAATAATCTAAGGGAATTAAATGAAACTCATCTTCAGAACGTTATGTGTGAAAATCACAGTAGAAGGGTCTGTTTCTGAATCTTCCTCCCCTCACACCCAACCAGTCATAGCAGATGGCCGCCCCTCACCGAGCCTGGTTCATTCAGTTTTGTTCTGTTTAAAGGGGGTTTTTCCTTCCCACTGCCCCCAAATGTTTGCACATAGGGACTCATCTGATTGTTGGTGCTTTCTCTGTATTATTGCGGGTAGGGATGCAACGATACCAATTTTTTCAAACCGATACGATACCGATACTTGGATCTGAGTACTTGCCGATACAAAGTACAAAAAACGATACTTCTACCACACACACACACACACACACACACAAATGCAATGAATTGGAAGACAGGTTTTATCATATTCCCTGCCGATAAAAAATAAAATCTTAATAAAAATGACCACAAAAAAATTTCAAGTGAAAAATAAGCACTTCTGTTAAATTATTCCAGAGTCTCCACATTGTAATTTTACAAAATATCACTGAACTATTGGCACTGTCTCGAGCTTTCGGAATAATAAATAAACACTTCTGTTTGGAATAAAATAAATACAAATTAGGTTTGCGAATAAATGAAACTTTTAAATTATTGCAGAGTGTCCATATTGTAAACAAACAAACAAAATAATTATTATAAAATAAATAATAAATAAAATAATAATTGGCCCCCTAGTGGCCAATCTAAAAAACTACAACAGAAATGACAAGCCACCCTCTGATTAATGAAATAAGTTGGTATCGGTTCATGGTATCGGTTAACTTTTACGAGTATGAGTACACACACATTTTACAGTATCGGCCCCGATACCCGATACCAGTATCGGTATCGGTGCATCCCTAATTGCGGGGCTTTAACCTTACAATAATAAGTGCCGTGAGGTAACTGTTGTTGGGATTTGGCACAATAAAAATAATAACTGAACTGAACTGAACTGAACAGTCTCGTGCTTGTGACAGCATGGAAACATTAATGGTGTCTCAAGTGTTAACTAGCTGCACACTTCTATTGATTGGTGGATTTAGACTGTTGAAAGAAAAGATTTCTGGCATGAAACTGTTCACAAAAGGTTTGTGGATTTTTTATTTTCTTCAGTAACTAGGTCATGATTTATTGAAAGAGACATTGCTGCTGAGTGTTTCAATTTTTATTTTTTTGGAGCAGAAAGCATTTTCCCTTCAGTCCTATTTTATCTAAGAGAAGGTAAACATTTTATCAACCCATATCTCCAAATGTGGGCAATAACTGCCAAAGCAATCTATATAAATAAACAGTTCAAATCTGAGCTGGAGTGAACTTGTGATATCCCCACTATGAAACAGGATAGTCTTATATCCATTTTAACCCATTTTAATAGTCCTTGCGCTTTATAAAAGTATAGTAAAAAATCTCCACATAACTTTAAATCATATAATCAAGTAATAATACAGCATATATTAGATTATTTATTTTTGCCTTACTAGTGAGTGTGTACAAATGTATTCATTCTGTACCTTCTTCCTTTTCCAGTTCATCCTCTGAATCATTGTTCATACTGAAAGAGATGAGAGAAATTTGGGTTATAAGAAATACATGAAGACGTGACAAAACCATTGAGTAGTGCACACTTTAGATGCAAATGTAAATGTGTTTATTATTGTATACACACACAAAGCAACACTGCACAGAGGCTTTGTCTGCCAAGACACAAACAACGTAATTGTACATAGTAAAAATATGTAGTGTAAGAAGGAGTATGCAGTCATTTTTATTCTGACTGAAGCCTGAGTAGATTCCAGACGATGGGTCAGACCTTACTATTTTTGTGTTGTTAATATTTAAAGATCATTTTGAGCTATAAATGCTAAATGTGTATATGCA